ACATGTGTTGATTGCCCGTGGAACACCCTACAAGTTTATCACCTTCGCTACCGTGTTCACACTGTTGATACAAATTTTTAACGTTTTAAATTTTTCTGTCGCAGGACTTATTTGCCAACCTAATATATAGGATTAGGTGAGGAGCTCCATCCAGGAATGACTGCGTGCGAGAGCGGATTGGGGATCTCCCACCCAACCTTGTTGAGTGCAGTGGACAGACCGGTGATCAGCGGCGTACTTGATTGTTCAGTAGTCAGAGGTGCCATAGTGTACCGGCTCTAGTACATGATGGTAATTGGACTGCACCAGAGCAGTTCTCAGCAGCAGTTTCCATTTCTTTATAGTAGGCTCTAGAAGAGCAGTTAAAAAGTGAAGGTAAAAACCTCTAAGACAGAATGATCCCCCGAAAATCACTGCAAAAGCCAGTTCGGCACTCAAATACCTCTTCAACTTTTCCTGAGAACCAAATGTATGGAGCAGCTCCGTCTAACAAAATATGTTTCAGTGGTAACTTGTTTTCAACCTTGCAGTTCTTTTGTGTCGTTGAAGGCAATATTTTATTTAAAAGCCAGAATTACGGCTACCACCGAGCCGATCTTTACGGTCGCTGATCAGCCCTTTATTTTTAGGTAATTGCGTTGAATTGAGTATAGAACTGTTTCCATGAATTTCGCTACCGTAATCTTGCGGATGAGTTCTGCCGATAGGTTTTTCGATTTTGCAAAACTCGTCCTTCAAACACTTTAACTAACCGGTTGCTCGTTCTTTTCAAAGACATCGCAATGTCTTCTGATACCTATAACATTCGCCACAAAGCCAAGGTGGACCGGTTTCGATGAGCAGAAAGGAATGTAAAATAATGTAAGAATATTCTTGGCCAGAATGGATTCTGTCGGCAGTATGGGCGGACGCTGTTATGATTTTGGACAAAGGCAGAGCCAGCATTCTCGGAATCAATTTTTTAGGTAAAAAAACAAACAGTTCTTCGATGAACTCCGTTTTGGAATCTTACGCACCTAAACCCCATTCAAAATTGTAGCGGTGTTTGAATGCTCGGTCGGTCTATACAGTTAATTGTGAGAGCCAGCAGAAGTACAGGTCAGGTTTCTTTTCTTCTCAGGTAGGTCTACCTCGTACGTATTGAAAGGTTTGGGTGGTTTAGACGGATGTGTCCCCTGACCATCCAGAGAGGTGGCGCTTCGCTTGGCGCTACTCCACCTTTGATTGATAGGTGTCGATGACGATTCCCGATTCATACCTATGGTAGCGAGGCCATTTGACACTATCTCTAAGACAGAGCCACATTTGGGTGTAACCCCACATTACGGGCCCTGAGAGGAATCTGTGGTCTGGAATATTGCTCACACTCGGGAAATCGGTCAATCCCAGCAGTTCAAAGGAGAATGCTTATTCGAAAATTTGATGATTGAAGAATTTTGGCATCGATTTGGATCGCACAACAGTTCAAATTACATCACACCTTCGTCAATTCAACGGTTCGAGCTATCTTCCCATTATTTTCGAGCTGTTGTAACAAAAGCAGCAGAAAAAACTGACAGAAAATGAGCGAAAGATTCTACTGCAAAAAGAGAAAAGAGAAAATTTGATGAAAACGAACCGATCCAAATCAGGAGTACTGGCAGCAGCGGTTTTCCGTCGTTCCAACTCACGTTTCAGTTCCATATTCTCAAGCTGTAGTCGTTGCAACACTTGATCCAACTCGTCTTTTTGCATCTGATCCACCTAAAAGTCCATTTGAGTTATATACCTTAGACTTGAGTTTACTCCATTTTATTACTCCGTTTTAATATCGATTCTTTCCCAGAAACATTCATTTTTCACATACCTAATCGTTACCCAAGCGATATATTTGCTTCGGTAACGATGAAGTATTGCCATATGGAGAGGTAGCTCCTACACGACAAACAGCAGCTTCCTGATTGAGAAGGCTCATAACATTACTTATTTCCCATTTATTTGTTTATTTATTGACTTACCAACTTGCTCATTCGTATGAGTCTAATAGTAGTACAGTAGAGAGCAGTAATGAAAATAGAAGTGACTCGAAAAAAAATTAATCAAATCACTCAACATCATTGGGCGGAGATGGAGCAGTGGTAAGTGGCGTCCTACTACATACAAATCGTCACGAGTTCCCATCCCGGATCAATATTCGCCTGGGCCAACCGAGCTTTCCATCCCTCCAGGGCCGACTAATTTGTACCAGACTCGTCTTGGAGGACAAAAGCTCTGATTCGAACTCGGTTGGTCACCGTAATTCATTGTGTAGGCCACATACACATTCAAACGCCACAACGATTTTGAATGAATGTTGATGCAAAGGCGCGTTCCTTAAACATGATTGATCAACGCCAGAACACTTTGCCCTTAATCCATTGCAATTATTAATAAACAGATAAAACAATGCTTTCCAAATGGGTGGAAAATTGGACGAAATTTTTCAGACTATATGGTTATCTCCCGGCTGTATCACAGACTTCTACACAACCATTCTGATCTGCCCTTTCATATTATCACCATGGAATAGGAAGAACTTCACCAGTTTCTTTTCCTCCCTACCGTAGGGTATGTTAGTCAGAAGAGCGGAATTTTCGGACTTAAATGAGCATCTCAAAGTCTTTCTTCCCATTTCGTGGCTGTTTTAAGGGCGAGATCTAAACGGATTGCTTCTTTGGTAAAGATGCAAGCACGCCAGGACCAATCGGTTATTTTCTTCCAATTTGAGAGATGGACTCGCTTTCCCCAGAAGTGGAAGATTTGTTGAAATTTTTATAAATCCTTTTCTTAGAGAGACGGTCAAGAAATCTTTTTGCAAAAGTCAAGTGTCAATTCAGTCGAGCAATCGCATGGCGGCCTCAACGGCAATTATCGTTCCTCGATCTTCTTTCACATGAAAAATTTCTTTTATACGAAACGAGAATGAGGAACGATTGACGAATTCCGGACATTCCTAGCGTTACTGTGAATCAACGAAAAAGAAAACATAACTTTGATCTTAAATTCAACAAAACTCGTCAATCGCCGAATGTGAGTGACTCAGTATACAGTTAAATGCACTGGGACGGTTTGTCACCGCAGATGTTGTATTGGAACAACATACAGAGGAGAAAAGATCGTATTTGATATGAAAATCAATAAATTTTGGGTTTTTTGAAATATCGATCGAATACAGTACTCGGTATTTATCCTAGTCTCTCGCCTAGATACATGTTTCCAAGATTATAAGGAGCATGAATATGAAAACGAGAAAAAAAATATTTGGAAGAATAGCGGCTGGTAGAGGACGTTCCATACCGCCACATTTCATCCAGTAAAGGAATAAATCAGTTGGCTGGAGAAAAGGGTTTTCTAAAAAGAAGAGTAAACGATAAAAGTGTCAAACAGGTTTCCATCGCTACAAAACTTTACTAGTCCAAAGAAACTGAGAAGAAATTGTGCAGTAATGTAAAGTAATTTGAAACAGGTATCAGTTCCAAGCGAGGTGTTGCCAGCTTGAAAACATCACCAAAAATGGATTCTGGAATCCTAATAGCTAATGGGATCATTCTTAGCACGAATAAAGTCAAATCAAGGAGAAATAGAGCTTTTGCACGATTATCGACCTTCTTAGGGATGCGGCCCACATTCGACTTCCACTCGAAATCGTAGTGACGTATTGAATGCGTATTTGGCCAATGCAACGGCCTTCGGTGGCCAGCCGGAGTGCAAGTCACTGCTTTTATCCTCTCAGACGAGTCCGGTACTAACTAATCGACCCTGGTAGGACGGAAGACTTGGTTGGCCCAGGCGGATACTGATCCGGGATTAGGACCTGTGACCATGTGTGTGTGATCGTGCGACATATGCCACTACACCACCTCCGCCCGCTTTAACACCATTAGGTAGTGAAAATTTTTTCGATATGGAGGCTGCTATTGAAAATAGATTAAAACATTAGCAATAATAATAATTCCCAGTTTGAAAAATTAAAAATCGGAAGCGGAAATCGGGAATCGGAATAGGATGAAATTAAAATTTTGGTCGAGCATAACCTTACCATTAGATAACAAAAACAGAGGCTGGCTTCCTCTTCTCTTACTCTCCATCTATCATCCTCCTTTTTTTGAAATGCTCCCACCCAAAACCCTTCTTCTCTGCACATTCCCTCACCACAACATGCCCTCAGAGTCACTTTACCTTTTTCCTTTTCTTCCTTGTCCTTGATGAACTTCGTAAAAGGCGGAAGATATTGCACATCGCCATCATATGACGGGGTAGGGTCTTATTTAGGGCCACAACAATACAGTATAGCAATGAAATCAAGTAGCAGTGGTATTAAAATCGTAGCGATTGAAGGCGGGACAGACACACCAATGAATTGTCCGTCGTTGAACGTTTGTGCGTATCATTAACGGGCGGCACCTCTCTTTCTGTTCAAGGACATTCGCTGCGCCATACTTTTACCAATCATCGTTCTTCAACAATACCGTTTAGATTTTAGACCATTTCACATTCCATAGGTATTGATCGATTATTTCAGCAGGTACAACCAACCGAAAAGACAGTTACTTTTATAGGCCATTAATCTCATAATGATTTACGATCCTGGCCTCAGCAGAGCTCATCGTCGCGGCGACTTTAGTTCGTCCTGGTTACTTGGCTGTAACAAACCAGTTTCTCCATTAAGAAGAAACATATGGCTGATTAATGATTATTAGGTTGAAATGGGTCAAAATGCGCCATAACGGGGTCAAACCGTTAGTTGATGAGTTGGTGCCGTGATTCAGCAGATTTCCTTAGTTTCAAATTCTGTATTTTCGATTAAAAATTACAATTTTTCGTAAGCACAGTTCTATGCCAGACCTACACAACCTTCATTTCCTCAGCCTTCCACATAGGTATGGGAATTGATTTGGTACCCGAGTTATTTACCGATTCACTTGTTTTTAGAGAAAACCAGTCAAATATTCTTAGTCACTGACTTTGCGTCATAAGAAAGCAAATTTTTCGACTTTTTAATGTGTGGGAAACGGTTATTGACTTGAGATTGTGGGTATTTGTTTACTTTCTACAATTTGATTATTTTTTTTTGCTCTGTTTCAATGGTCCCCTATAAGTTTCATTGATTCAGGTGCATCAAGACAAATAAATAATTGAACAAAATGCAAAAAATATGGCCATAACAAAAGTGAATCAAAGGTGGTTCTATCGATGAAGCGCTTATTTCTGACCTGATTGATGAGCTGGGCAGGACTTTGGACATCTGCCAAACGCTCATCCAGTGGCTCCGCTGGTTGAGACATGGTGAGCTCAGCGAGGCGATGAGCAATTGCTGCCGATCGCAGATGAATGGGATCGGTGGCAGGATTTCGAACTGAGGGTGCAGCGATCGTAAGTGGACGGCCTTCGTCACCGACCTAAAACAGATAAATAGTAATAAATGAAAATTAAATAGGTAGGCAAAAGAACAAAGGCAAACATTCGTTAAATCGAAATGGCCAGAATAATTCTGAAAAATTTCTATTTTAAGAGAACATTTGTGGACTTACGTCAACTGGTAGATAGCCTAAACTGCTTTTGCTCCGTGAAAATTTATTCCGAACCATTCGAGCAAAGTCTCTGGCATCTTCGGAGGAAGTTGTCTGAACAAGAGCGTGCTTCATGACATCAAATAAATAATTCAGACCAATCGCTCACATCAATCGAGTTTTCAAGATGTACCATAGATTTGAATTCCCAAAGAAATGCTGGGGTATTTCCATAGGTATCTACCGTAGACCTGTGGTAGGGGTGATGAAATTGAGAATGAAATCAGTAATTCCTTCACTCTGTATGGACCTGCTCTCGAAAGACCGATCCCAGAGGAACAGAGAGCTTGCTTGGTTCGGGCCAAGCGCTAGGTGGACAGGGAACCGAGCATGCAAGTAGCGATACAAGCCATAGCTTCATCTCTACATTCATACCAGTTAGCAAGAAACGTTTCAGTCACCCTCCTGAAAGGCGAGGTCTAGATTTTGGCGCGGTTCCAGATTCTTACCGTAACTCTATCGGTGTTTTACACTAGAACTAGTCGTAAAATAACAGGCATTAGTTGCATTAGTCACAGACACACCCCACTCTGTGACACAACGTCGTTTCAAAACTACTTTACGATCAAAGTTACAGTAAGAATTTGACGTCGCGATGACTTTTTTAATCTCATTTCAAGGGGGAGAAAAATCCAATTCCACCTAAAGACTTCTGGAACCAGACCACTTAAAATAGCTATTTGGAGAACCATCGAGTTGGACTGGGTGATCAAGTTTCTTTATCGATTTCATTTGGAAAATCACTCACCGGCACTGCGTACTCCTGCATCGGATGTTTTAGTTTATGTTTCTTCGCTGTTCGTTGACTGAAGAAACAGTTTTGGCAAAGATCCAGGTTGAAGCAACGCAGACAGCGATATCGTAGACCGATGATTGGGAACATTTTGCACACGTTACACTTGGCTTGATGCTTGGCAAATTCGGCTGTTGCCAATCGGTGCATTACGGGTAACCACACAATGCTCTGTGGTTCCTGCTTCAACCATTCCAAAAACGGCCCGACAGTAATCGTTGGTGCCAGACGCACCGTCTCGAAGCACGACCGTACAGAGGGTTCAACGTTTGAGCCACCAAACGCCGCGGCTTCACCGACTAGTCGGGGAATCTGAAAAAAAAAGTCGTTTTTCCCGATTATAATATTAAAATTTTAATTGTAAAAAAATTTTTGCTAGGACCCTGATATTCACGGTGAGCTTGAAAGGCCTAAGAGAGGACTCGAACCCGCACCACTTTAGCTTCTATTATCGTGGTCCAGCCACGCTGCAAAGAGGGACCTTCACGCTGCTTCACGGTTAACATTATGCGGGGGCTCCTAGCTGGTTGTCTCGCCGCGCACCATATCTTTTAACAGGATGCTTATTTATAGTTAACTAGTTGTCTTGCTCACGACATATCATCAGATAACAACGCTGCAATTTACCTTTGAAACACATGCGGATCCATTTTGTGGATCATGCAAAACTTCATTCAGCCACATCAAAAATTTTTTTGAATTTCAAAAATTCAAAAACTTCAAGCAAATAGCATTGACCACGGGTGGTTTTCCCAAATTTTTGTTCATAATTATCCTATAAGACTTTGGAAGCTCTTTCTTTCCAAAAAACATAAGTTAGCTGTCGAAAAAAAAAACTTGGAAATTATGAATGGAAAAATTCAAAGCAAAAGTTGAAGTGAAAATCCCACAAGAATTTGTGTAAAGACAAAAAACAGACTTTAAAAAATTTTTGGAACGTACTTGGAATTAAGAACGAATTGAGAATTAAGAACGTACTTGGATGAGGTCGTAGAGAAGCAGAGCAATGTGCTTCTGGTCAGCCTGACCATCCTGAGCAACCAGATCGAAGATAACTGAAATTAATTGAATTCTACCCATAAATTTACTAATTATCTTGAAAAAATCTTCGTTTAACAGCTACTAGTTGGCTATTAATCTTGACAAACACATGAAAAAGTTTTCACCAAACATTTGCCACCCTAAGCACTACGAATTTCCCTCCAGTGGGTGTTCTCTTTTTCAGTCACTTGCGAAATTTTTTTATTTCCAACAAATCCTTTATGTCCCGGACCTCTCGGATGGTTGCATCTTTTTCGAAAATCTACCACAAGTAAAGTTTTCAAAAGTTTCGGAACTAAGGCTTGCTTAAATCATCTACAAGTGTAGATCATTTAGCACTCACTTTCCGAAGCGCCGAGTATGAAATGATCTTCACGAATAGGTGATTTGAGCGAGAAGGCGTAATTTGTCCGAACTAACTTTATTATATGGTATGTAATACTTATCGAAGGGAATCGAAATTACCCTAACAAAAAGTGTTTCACAGTTAAATTTCTGGAAAATTCGCTTTTCTTCTGAAAACCACTTACATCGGTACTTGTCTTCCAATGGAGCACTGGACATTACAACAAGAGCCGTTTTGAATGACAGTACTCGAAGGATACCATCTCGAGATCTGAAACATTATGCTAAAATCGGGAATCAGCACCGAATTCCAGTCGAGAAAGAAAAACTCACGGATCAAATAAATTCAGCAGGAAATTAATACAGAGATCCACAGCTAAGGCGACACTTCGGACCATTTGTGGGTGCTTGGCGTTAAGTTGTTCGAACAACGGCAATATACTGGTAACCATACCCTCCAAACCGGGCAGCTCTTCATTTGATAAGCCGGCCAAACGTGAAAAGCACTGCAAATAAAGCATTTACCTATTTTTGGGAGAAAGCTCACAAGTACAGTAAAGTTAGAGACTCGACGAGTCGATCTGAACCTGGCCAACCGAGGTTTTTGTCGTTTTGAGGGAAAATTTTGACAAAATCCTCCCTAATTAGGGAGTACTGAACTGTACTTGTTTACCCAGAGCTACTGTTTTAGTCAAATAAACAAAGATCTTGACACTGGAATCATTTCAGACTTTTCAGAACCACGCACGCCACATCGATTTTTAAGCTTCGGGTGCTTATTTGGTTTACATTATGGCGTCTTCAATCGGTAGGCAAATTGCCGAATTCTGATTTTCAGACCAGTCTGGAACCGACTAATCGATCCCGCAGAGGGGGAAGCTCAATGAGCTGAGGGGGAATCCACTTGCTCGCCCAGGCTTATCTCCCCTACACGCCCTGTGCGTTTGAGAATCTAAATGAGGAATCTGTNTTTTCAGAACCACGCACGCCACATCGATTTTTAAGCTTCGGGTGCTTATTTGGTTTACATTAGGGCGTCTTCAATCGGTAGGCAAATTGACGAATTCAGATTTTCAGACCAGTCTGGAACCGACTTATCGGTCCCGCAGAGGGGGAAGCTCAATGAGCTGAGGGGGAATCCACTTGCTCGCCCAGGCTTATCTCCCCTACACGCCCTTGTGCGTTTGAGAATCTAAATGAGGAATCTGTGGGCATTTCTGAGAGACCAAACAACTGCCAGGACTTCACTGAATTAGAATGGCTAAGAATAGTTATTGACCAGTTGAAATATGTTGGTTTGATTGAGGTTCCTCTATATGGTCGAATTGCTGTCCCCTATTACTGTACCCAGACCTCATATCCGCCAACAACAATTATATGGCCGTGAGCACGATATCCTATTCAATTGCCTAGTGGATCACCCATTACCGGATCCGGTGGCCACGGTAGTCATACGTCTGCAATAGGTATTAGGGATAGATTCCTGCTCTTCATTCACAGTTCCCCAAATCGCTAAATAAGGCCCTATCTGTCATTACACCCACCCAGGTAATGTGTGTGAATGAAAGTTCCCTCATAGATCCTCGACTAACCTTTTCCAGCATCGGAATGTCAACAAGATCAAGGCAGAGTCGTTTTTGAAGTGCTCGAAGTTTCATGGCCGTTCTGTAGGCAATGAATTTCACGCGATTGAACTGCGACAACTCCTTGGCCATTTCCACCCACACAGGATGCTCCCACTGGGTCTTCTCAGTGGTGTGGCTGAAAAAACAGAAATCTCTCCTCAGAACTATCAAAATTACAATAAAGATTTGCTTACTCTATGTAGTACGGTAACTGGTTGGTTTTAGAAATTGCACGTTGCCAAGGTAGGGAGACGCTCTGATTGAGGAAATGCTCTGATGACGGTCCACATTTCGCAAAGCGGCAGTTCGCACACGAAGAGCCGTCTTCAGTGCCATGAAACTGAAAATACGTATCCATAACGGACATGAACAGTAGGACATGTAGAATCGGTCGCTTCGACTGATCACCTTAGATTGCGCCATGCATTCAGTTCTCAAGCCCTGTATAATAAACGTGGTTTTGGCTGGTGTATTAAGCCGGAAAGGGGAGTTTGCAAACTAGTCAGCATCTTCGATGATCCCATTTCAAGTAACGGACATCAAAGGAAGGCTACCCAGAAATTTCAGGAACTGCTTGGCTGGGTTCAAAAAGCCCTAGATATTTATGTACGTGTTTAAATGTAGAGAACGATGACAGGAACAAAATCCGCAGTTTCATTGACTCTGCAAATTTCTGCAGCACTGCCCAAGACAATGCGCCATGCACTTGACCCCTATCAAATTCTAGAGCTAGCAGACTCGGAATCGAACTTCCATGGGTACTTAATAGCAAACACCAAACAACCTTTCAATCAGTAGCAATAGCAAACGACCATCCTTTCGAGTATGCCCCTTTCACACTGCTATCAGAAACTCTTATACACTTGCACTGCAGCTGGGTGGCCATCTTTTTGAACTTTCCGTGAAGATGATTCCAGATTTAGCCCCGGCTTAGCAACAGAGTACCTCTCAAGTGAGATGTAATTGGGAAACTTTAAGAGACGATAAAAAATCGACTGCGCTCAATAGTCGGAGGGCATAGTGATCTGCCATGAGGGGACCATTTCGAAGTTTCAACGATTGTATCTTGAACCTTGAATGGAGGGGGGGAAATTTTTTTCTTTCAAAGCAACCTGCCTTACCCTCGTAGATAGAGTATGATTTGCACCGAGAAATCCATCCAGTAGATGACCTCGGTACTAGTTCACACAGCCGAGCCCAGCGAAGGCAATTCCAGACTAATCACCCTTTGAATTGTCCTTTTTCTGATGTCTCGCTCAAAATTGCCGTAATAGCTACCGATCAACTATACCGTATCCCAGTGATGTGCCTGAGGTAGTAGAATAACTGGAACCGCTACACCGATATCAAGGATATGTTGGATGGAGTTTGGTCTAATCAAGTTTTTATGGAGTCGAGGATTAGTGGTGTCAAACTTGCACGGTAGAACGACTGACTTCGAGTCGGTCTCAATATCGATATCGAGAGCTCCAAATTCTATCCTTCAACAACTTAAACCCCGAACCCCCAACCCAAAGGTTTCTGGTTACTACATGTATGAAAGCTCATCGAAACCTAAAACTAACCGTTCATTGACGGAATCGAGTTGGTTTCGCGGATGCTGATCAAGCGGGGTGTCGGCAGCGAGTACTCGGCCACAAGCGTCGTTGGCGTCATCGACATGGATTCGCAAATCGGCGACACGATTAGCCAACGATTCGCATTGACGTCGAGCATCCTTCAGTTCTTCGAGTCGCAGCCGTTCGACTGGTCGCAGTTGTTCCACTTCTGATTCGACCGAACTGAAATCGTTAGACATCTTTGCCATGGAAGGATGCTTCAAGAGGTCGTACTTTTGATATATAAATGCTCTTCAGTTTTTAGCCAGCATGCGCTAGACTCAAGCACCGCTTGCCGCTGATTAAGACAACTGGAATGGCGCGTTGCGAGACAACTGGTAAGGATTCGCCGCGCTATGTCGCGAGTCTAGTGTAACTAACTTCCGACGGCCTCTGCGGAAGTCGGGAGTCGGAATCGTTGGAATCATCTTTACCCAATCACTATTTCAAGCATCACGTGAGTAAACAAATACCTCAGATGTAGCTGGCACTCAGCCAAAGCCCGCTCCAGCTCCTGTAGACGCAAAGCGGCAGCGTGTATTGCACGATCCCAATCAGCAAACTGAACACCAAATTCAGCCCATTTCTCCTTCAGTTTTTCACAATCGACATGAATCTGTAGGCCGCAACGTCGTTGTTCGGCGTCTTTCCGTTCTGAAAAAAATCGTATTTTGAAGGACAACTGACTCTGGGAGACTTCTAAACCGAGCACCTACCATCTTCATCATCCTCAGCCAGAACTCCGGGTCGATGAAGTTTTGGTCGGAGATCGTGTTGCATTAGGAACGAGTGAGCATTGGTAATGGCTTCCCGGATTTGAATTCCCTAGAAAAATTGATTTCTTGATTGCACAGTAGTAAGCTACCATTTAAGGATGAGCCGTAGAAGTTTAGTGCGCTCTCAAGTACCCATGAAGATGCGGAACGCTCGGGAACGATTTCGCGGACAAGCCGATCGATTAGTGAAAAGCAGAACCAATCTTCCCCCGTCCTCTTCCTGACCAGTCATTCCCAAGTGGACGGGTCTCTAATTAAGAGAGCGCAGACACGCAGACAACGAAACCGCATTGACTCGCCCAGCTGTTCATTATTAAACATGCCTTCGAACCTTGTCAGAGATGAACTTTTATTCCTCTTGTTTGAATTAAATGAATTTATGGGTTTAGAAAATAATCGCAAACCTTCTGTTCCATTTCCTTTTCCATGTTCTTCATCCATGTACTTTGAGCCATTACAGCAGTCAGACTACCACCAACAGGCTGTTGTTCGAGCATCTGAAAGCACGAAAATCAAAACATTTACCCATTTTCCACTACTGGAAAAATGGATAAAAATTAATAAGAAAGAAGTCAATACTAGGGGAAGTAACGGAAAGAAATCATGAAGTATCATTAAGAATATCCAGAATACTATAACGAGAACACAGGCTCAATTATAGGTAATACCCATCCTCAATAGGTAATACAAATATTTTTTTTTTGCTGTTGAAATAATTCGTAATAATTTGTTATGATTTAGCGCGTTCACTGACGCACACATGAAATAAAATAAAACAAAAATATTAAGAGTTGACCTACCTCAATACTTTTATCCTCAATCCATCCGAGCAACGACGACAATGTGTTCGTGAGCTTTTCCCATTCTTGTTCAGCTTCGGCTAGGCGTTCCCTGAAATATTCATATTCTCACATTCACATTCATATCACTACAGACAAGCGTGGTTTGCTATACAAAATATCGAACTATTGATAAGACCTAATGAGTCAGACTTTCTAATAGATGGTGGTCCTATGTATTGTATGAAGTAACGGCATAAAAAGTAAGCTTCTAGACGAGTTTGCGCTGCCCAAGAAGAATATAACGGATGGAATCTTCGGTTTATCTTCCCAGACGAGTCTGATACCGATTACCCGGCCTCGTAAGGATGTGAAGCTTGTTTGGCCCGCCCGACTACCGTTTCGCGATCCGAACACGAGACCATGCGTATGGTAGTGCGCCACTTGGCTCCACACCAACTTCCTCTTATCGCCCCAGTATCATGAAAATCCTCTAAACTAACCTTTTCCTCCCTGGTAAACCACTTTCCACCTTCAGCGTTTACACTTTACCATGCAAGAACCAACTGAAAGCCTACTTCCTCGAAATTCCTCGCGGATTTTAGTTCAAATTGCCAACCTCTGTTCTTTTCAAAAGATAATTCGATGGCGTCTATTGCTGAGGCCCAGTAATACTTTCCTTCACTTTCTCTCCACTTCGCCTGGTCCTCCCTCGCTCTTCCCGATCCCAACTATCTCCTTCTACCACTTACTTCCCTACTGTTCTCACTCATTACTTGCCCTTTACTGTTTTCTTAGAGTGAGTCATAAAACAAACACTACGCCTCAATCTTTCAAATAAATTCTTCAATCCAAGATCAAACAAAACCATAACTGAATAAACTCGCATGTAAACAAATAATAAATGAATAAACAAATAAATAACTCACTTGACGAGGTTCTCGGTTTCACGCACTTCCTTCCATCGTTGTGCCACTGCATCCAGCCGATTTTGGACTTCAGATCGATCTTTTCCGGAATCGATTCCAGCGCCTAGTTTTTGTCCCATCTCATCTATCGCCTTTAGAACCTCTTCATGGGCATCCAGTTCGGCTTCCAAAGACTAAAACTTTAAGAAATGGATAAGACAAATAGAAAATTCTGAAATTTCCAGGAGGATGGGAATCTCTGAGTGCTGAGCTACTTGACTTTTTGGAACCTGCGTTTTGAAATTTTTTTGCCTTCAATCGAAATTCAAAAGCATCATAAATGTCGGTTCCAGAGGACCATCACTAGTGTCGCCTTCTGGAAACTTCCGAAACTTTTAGGTTCTTATCAAAATTTCGGGTGAAATTGTAATTTTTGCTAACTTCACCTTATTCTGCTGAATCCACTCGCGTCGCTTAGTGGTATCCTTTAGCGATTGTGTATTTGCCGTCAGAGATTCCAATTCGCCGACAGTACCAGCAATTCGATCAAGCCAGTTTTCAAAGTCAGCAAATGCTGTGTGGAAATCGCTTCGTGACCGTTGCGTCGCTTCCAGAACAGCTCGACGAATTCGAAGACTGAAAAATTGTGACAATTAAATTTTTTCGGAAATTTTTTACTCGGCCAGCTGGTACGATCATTATCGTTTGGATAACGAGGGTACTTCNTAGGAACTTTGTGGGAGGGCGCTCAGAAACCTGATAGGCATCCTTCTAGACAATGAGCTCATCTCAGGCTCTAACGGTGATTTTTTCTATTAAGGAAACGCGAAAGCTTCAGATCCACACATCGCTCTTCCCCTTCCAGTCTTCTGGAAAAAAAAGTTCTCGGGAGGATAATAGAAATTAGAGAAGAGTAAGGTACTGTAATGATCTCAGTTGAGAACCATCTTTATCTTTCCCCCATGAAAAATGGTCAACTCTTCCCAAAGGGGCTAAAAATCGAATCTAGGGAGTTTTCCTTACATCCACTAAGCCTCCTCTCTCTGCGTGAAACAGAAATCGAGGATCCAAGCCGAAGAAGAATATTTTCTACAGTAAAACTGAACTGAGAGAGGTTCTCTGAGTATATGGGAGAGAATGGAGAGAATGGGCAGAGAGAAACAATGAGAAGTACCAACATGCACCGATGCAGGAACGATTTGAGCGAGCATGCCAGAGGTGACAATTTCAAGGATAATGGGATCATTACCGGCCTTCATGTATACTCATAAACAGCATTTGGGCGCCACATTGAGGTCCCACGAGCTGACGGGGGTCGCAAGGACGACTGAGCGGCGGGCGAACAGGCGTCGCCGGCCACTTCGGGCGAGCGACGAACATCGTTGGTGTGCCAGCGACCGCGAATAACACGATAATTCGATAGGGACTGACGAGGTGATTGAGATCGCCACCGACGACCTCATGCCCACGTTGTCAGCAGCATCCACGATTGTCAATGCGATTATCGTGCCAATAAGTTGCAAACGATTGCATTGTGGGTAAACTCCAAATAGTCAGAAGATGTCCATCAGGGTAGGTAGATGACCATCAGGGAAGCTACTCTTGGAATCGCGATTCTCCGAAATTGGATTCACTAGTAAAGGATTCGCAAGTAAAAGGTAGTTAACGTTTTTGATTTGGGACAGCCTCTTTTGGTATGAGACCGTCATTCGAATCAAATTCAAGCAGTTTAAAAACCTATATTGGATCACACTGGAATTATCGGGATCACTTCAAATGCAAATAATAGGTGTCCTTATCCAACTACCCACCACCCACCCCCCTCCCCTCACCCTTCCGAAAAATTCTGCTACCCTTCAATCAACCGTGACAAGATGGAAGTGAACGACGGCCCAAGCCGTTTTCGAACCAGGATTTCATCCTGTGACAACATGTGTTACTGTGGCGCCACTTGGTGGTACTCCAACTCCTCCACAGTTCTATGATTCCTATCAGTTCTAATAAGAAAGCCTCAAAATAACTCAATAACCATAAGGATATGAAGTGCACCTATCACAAACTCGACAAGGACCAATTTATTGGATACGCCATGACTTTTAACCCAGTCTTGTCCTTGGTCTTTTCCTGATTTTTCTAAACTTCAATAGGTAGCAGTATGGAAAAAATGGGAGGGGCCTACCCGGAAAGGGATGAGAGGTTCTCTAATATTGCGACAAAGGATTTCTTTTTGCCTAAGATATTTTTACGATGAAGAGAGGCTTGCGTCAGCTCGAATTTGCTAATCTTCTCGGAACCTTACAACAAAGAAAATCACTAAGAATGAATAGAATGAAGGCGCTCTGGTATCGGACAAGAAACAAACCTAAGTGGTAACACTGAAAGTAATCACGATATGATCCTAACTGGTAACATCGAAGGTAATAGATGTGTCAAAAAGCAGCCCTTACCAATAGGAATCAATAAACAACGTTGTACAGTGATGGTAAAGGGAAGCAGGTTGGGTAGAAAGAAAGTTGTGTTTATCCCAAACAAAAAAACTTATGCTATAGGTTCGGTTACCAGTTCCGGTACTATTACTTAACCAAGCAATTTGTTAAGAGGTAGCGGAGTCATCAGATGGAGCTATTGGGGCGTGGATTATGTCAGAAAATTGGTATAGGCTAAGGCGTAACTCAACTGATATGCCAAATATTAGTACAACCAATTACTACCATAGCCATCAGCAGAAATCGAATACATGGGGTAGGGTAAATACAAGGAGTAAAAGTATAGGTAAATAAGACGTTCTGACCGGTAACCAATGGTAGCACCTACTTCCAGAGGTCATTCGAAAGGTAAGAAACTTACTTGTCGTTGAATTTACTCCATCGCATATTCAGCTTGCTCAGTTCGTGACTGAGGGTGTGAGCATCATCGCGAGTGAAGGTGTCCAACATAGCGTTTCCCTGAGAAATTGATCTTCTATTTTTCTGACTTCTGATGTCTTCAACTTCTTTTATATAATATATTTCCCCTTGAATATATGTAATTTTTCCAAATTCAATCCCTTTCGGTTTTCCATCATCTAACTTGTATATACATAAGTGCGACTGAGATGATGTAGTAGCAAAGGGCGCAATGTGAAACACGCATAGTCACGGGCTCGAATCTCGGATTGGTATCCTTCTAGTCCAATGAAGCTTCCATCTACCCGGGGTCGGTTACCTGGTACCACACTCGTCTGAGAGGATAAAAGTGGTGATCTGTAAATCGGCTGACAACAGCAAGTCACTGTATAGGCGAGACTTGCATTCAATACGCCTCAACGATTCTGAATGAAAGTCAAATGCGGGGCGCATCCCTTCGACGAGATTGCTCAGCTCCCATCCGATATTTCAAGAGATGCTCTCTTGAAAGATTGGATGGGATAATCCATCCGATTGCAATAATTGCAGTGGGTAGTATGTGAGGTAATCTGTGGTGAACCATTGAGTGGTACTAAGACGCTGGCGCTCCCCAATACCCAGCCGCCTCCGCCAACCAGTAACCCTGATATGCTCACAGCTCAATGCAATTCTAACTAGGTGTCTCACAAGGCGTAATGTTTTGGTTGTTGATTGATAATTATTTGCCCCATAGCGCAATACATCATTCGGGAACAATCTCGTCATTTAATAGGCCCTTTTCAAAGTTCGCCCTGCTCTCGCCGGCGATACAGACTATGTACTCCTCTGAAAGGGAATCTTTGGAACATTCCGTTTTATGTTCCTTCCGATAATGAATAGAATGCCAGTTGTGATGANACCCGGGGTCGGTTACCTGGTACCACACTCGTCTGAGAAGATAAAAGTAGTGATCTGTAAATCGGCTAACAACGGCAAGTCACTGTATAGGCGACACTTGCATTCAATACGCCTCAACGATTCTGAATGAAAG